GAAGAGATTGCACAACTGCTCAACTAGACAGTGTCAAATCCACTGCTCGCGCCCTCATCCCACCCACCAACCCGCAACCTGGTTTGTCAAACCCATACGGAGGCGATTGCGTTAGTGCTTGGTGTTGGCTGGTGCATCTCTGCGGCCGCGATAACCCGCGCATGTTCGCGCACGCAGCGGCCTGCTAGTTTGGCGCGACCGAAGCGAACGCGGTATAATGGCAACGTCGACGACGGTAGACGCGACGATGATAATAGCAATACTGGTGTCGATGTTGACAACGACGACGGCCCAGCCAGTGACAGCGCCGATGCTGATCACGCCGACGACGATGACGGAATCCTCGCGTCGGTGGCGAAGGCTTTGGAAAGAGTTCGACATGCACACGCGGCCGGCGCGCGAGTGGCCCGCATGGCATTATTTGACACGGATCCTGCCACCTCCCAGCACGCGCGCAAGGGCGTTCGAATAATTTCGGCATGCGGAACGGGCGGCCCGTTTGGCATAATTGCATGAAAACGTTGGACAACCTATGGTTTTCCGAAAATTCGCAAGAGCGCGGGCGCAAGCTTTTCTGAAAACTGATGTTGTGAAACCATATGGTTCCATACGGTTTCGCGACACTCTGATTTCAAATGCTCACGGCAACTAAAAGTGTTGACGGATTCTGGCATGCGCGCGCGACGACGCGCGCACGCGCACTTCGTCTTACTTCTGCAAAGGATCCTGGCGACAGCACGCGCGCAAGGGAGTTCGAACGATTTCGGCATGCGCGCAAACGAAGCCCCGCGTGGTAGCTTGTTATGGGGAAAGCAAACAAAACAAAACATGGTTGCCTTAAAAATCCGCACGAGCGCGAGCGCACGCTTGTTTGAACCATCCTGTTAAGAAACCGTGTGCGCTCACATGTTGATTGGACACTCGGATTTTGAAATCCTTACGCAACCTGATGGTTTGAAACATGTTGCCACGCGCGCGCGACAACGCGCGCGTGTGCACTTCGTCCAGTGTTTTTGCATGGGGTTCTTGAACACTGAACACTTTGGAGAACGAATGCGCGCGCATAGCTTTATGACGGGAAGCGCGCTTAGACTCGAAGAGTCGCGCGATGGACGTCTGTGTGCCCAGAGGGATTGTTTGTAAAAGGGGGCGGTCTGGGGGGGGAACGCGCGGCAGGCACTCGTGGTCGGGGACCTGGCGGATGACGGGAAGCGCGCTAAGACTCGAAGAGTCGCGCGATGGACGTTCTCTCGGCCAGAGGCAGTATCAACTGGGTGGGGGGGGGGGTCGGGGGGGGGAACGCGCGGGAGGCACTCGTGGTCGGGAACGTGGCGGGTTCCTAAAATGAGCGGCTCGCTCTAAACATCCTCACAACATCGAGAAGTTGGATCGTATCTTAAGACGCGTGTTGCTAAACATGGGCGTTTCGCTCGGGACATCCTCGAAAAGTCGGGATATTGAAATCGACGTCCTAATTTTCGGTTCCTCGAAAATGCGCGTTTCGCCCGAGACATCCTCGAAACAATTGGATGCCGACAGAGCTCTTGTAAGACATCTGTTCGCAGCGATCTCGGATGGCCCCCAAGATGGCCCAAGAAACGACAATAATGAAAAACCATGTGTTTTTTATACAGTTCCGTTGGAAATCAGCGTTTCACTCGAGACATCCCTTACAAAATGCCGTCGAACGGGCCCTCGAAGCCATCTGGTTTCCCCCGCCTCCTCCTCCTGCTCCTCCTCCTCTTCCTCCCTCTCCTCCTCCTTCTCCTTCTCCTCTTTCTCCTCCTTCTCCTCCTCCTCCTCCTCTCGTTCGTCCTTCTTCTCGTTCCTCCTCCTCCGCCTCGTCTTCCTTATCCTCCTCCTCCTCCTGCTCCTGTCCCTCCTATTCCTTGTCCTCCTCCCCGTCCCCTCCTCACCCTCTATTCCTGCTCTTGCTGCTGCTGCTGCTGGTCCTCCTCCTCCTCCTCCTCCGCATCCTCCGCCTCCTCCTCCTCCTCATCCTCCTCCCCCTCCTCCCACGATTGTCGTTTTCGCAGTCGTCCTCCTCATGCGGAGGAGCGAGGAGGGTAACCAGGAAGATGCTTGTAAACGTTCGGGGGGTGCGTGTCCATACGTATCCTTTGTGAGCGTTCGGAGAGCTCGCCTATATTACATTTGATCACGATGATGCTGCAAGTTCTTGCGCAACTCGTCCCTTTCACGCGCTTACCGCTCATGTCAGGAACGGTTTCCCAAATGAGCGTGTCGCTCGAGACATCCTCACAACATCGAGAAGTTGGGGATCGTATCTTAAGACGCCGTTTGCCAAACATGGGCGTTTCGTTCGGGACATCCTCACAACATCGGGATGTTGAAATCGCTCGCCTAATGTTCGGTTCCTCGAACATGGGCGTCTCGCCCGAGACATCCTCGAAACAATTGGATGCCAACAGATCTCTTGTAAGGCATCTGTTCGGAACGATCTCGGATGGCCCCCAAGATGGCCCAAGAAGCGAAACTATTGAACAACAGCCATGTGTGGTAAGCACTTTCGTTGAACAATCAGCGTTTCGCTCGAGACATCCTCCCAAAATGTCCTCCTCCTCCTCCTCCTCCTCCTCCTCTTCCTCTTCCGTTTCCTTCTCCTCCTCCTCCTCCTCCTTCCGTTCTTCTTCCTCCTCCTCCTCCTCCTCCTCATCCTCTTCCTCATGCTCCTCCTCCTCCTCCTCGCCGTCTTCCTCCTTCTCCTTCCTCCCCCTCCTCCTCCTCCTCGGTCTTTTCCTCTTCCTCCTCCTCCTCCTCCTCTTTCTCCTCCAACTGCTCCTCCTCCTTCCCCTCCTGTTCTTCCACCGTTTCCCCCTCCTCCTGCTCATGTTCCTCCTCTTCTTCGTCCTCCTCCCCCACCTCCTCCTCACCTCTTCTTCTGCGGCTGCTGCTGATGCTGTTCCTTCTCCTCCTCCTCCTCCTCCTCCTCCTCCTCCTCCTCCTCCTCCTCCTCCTCCTCCCTCCTCCTCCTCCTCCCCTCCTCCTCCTCCTCCTCCTCCTCCTCCTCCTCCTCCTCCTCCTCCTCTTCCTCCTCCTCCTCTCCCTTCTTCCCCAATCGTATTCTTCGCCGCCGTCTTCCTTGTGCGAAAGAGTGGTGAGGATACTCAGGAATATGCTTGTGAACGTTCGGGGGGCGAGTGTCCATACGTATCCCTTGTGGGCGGTCGGAGAGCTCGCCTGTACTACATGTTACCGCGATGTTTCTGCAACTTCTTGCGCAACTCTTCCCTTTTCACGCGCTTCCCGTTTATTGCAGGAAAGGTTTCCAAAAGATGGCAGGGTGGTCGATGTCGGTTCCCGTGGGATGGCTTGAGTTCACATCTAGGATGTGCGATGCTGCAGAGTCATATGTAAATTGTAATGCAACCAAAGATATCGATCATCCCGGGGGGGATATCTATTCTTCTTTTCAGAACGAATTGTTTTTTTACAAACGAGGTGACACATTCTATGTTTTGCAAGCATCCCAACCACCAACCCGCAACCTGGTTTGCAAAATCCATGCGGCGGCAATTGCGATGAGTGTTTGGCGTTGGCTGGTGCATATCTGCGACCGCGCCAGCCCGTGCATGCACGCGCGCGCAGCGGCCAGCAGGTTTGGCGCGACCGACGCGGCCGCGGTGGCGTTGACCGCTGGGCACATCCCAGCGGGCACTTCAGTGCGAGTCGGCGTGAGCGGTATCATGGCAACGTCGACAATGGTAGACGCGATGATGGTAGTAGCGATGTTGGCAACAATGTTGACAGCGACGGCGGCACGGCCACTGACGGCACCGATGCTGATCACGTCGACGACGATGACGGCGTCCCCGCGTCGGTAATGAAGGTTTTGGAAAGAGTTCGGCATGCGCGCGCGACCGACGAGCGAGGGTGGCCGCATGGTATTATTTGACACGGATCATGCCCCCCCCCAGCATGCGCGCAGAAGGGCGTTCTTATGACTTCGGCATGCGGCGCGAGCGGTGCAATCTATGTCGGGCGGCGATTTGTCGGCGACGGCGGCAACGCAGCTGCCAAACCGACGCACAGCCCTAGACGTCGGGCGGCGATAAGGCGGCGACGGGGCGGCGACGGCGACAACGTAGCCGCCATGTCGACGCACAGGCCCAGTTCCTCAGAAAAACCAGCAATATGCCCCAAGTGCAAGCAAACATTGCTTGAGGGAGAAACGCCAAACAACGCAATTCAACGCAAAGCAATACAACACCGCTGAAGAATTCCAGGCAGAGCAACGCAAAGCAACACAAAGCAAAGCAAAGCAATGCTATGCAAAGCATTGCAATGCAAACCTATGCAAAACAAAGCACAACAAAGCAATGCACAGCAAAGCCAAACAATGCGCAGCAACGCAAAATAATGAAACACAATGCAAGCAACGTGAAGCAACCCGCGTGGTGCAATCTAATGGAGGCGACAAGCTGTGACGGCTGCGACGGGGCGGCGACGGCGACAACATAGCTGCCAGACCGACACACAGGCCCAAACGACGGGCGGCGACGAGGCGGCGGCGAGGCGGTGACGGCGACTACGTAGCCGCCAATCTGACGCACAGGTCCAGACGATGGCTGGCGGCGAGGCGGCGACGGGGCGGCGACGGCGACTGTATAGCCGCCAGATCAACGCACAGGACCAGTTCCTCAGAAATCATGTCAGGACCCCTAAGTGGGAAAACATGCAAAAATGGCAAAGGATTAAGGCGTCGAAATTGCTAAAACTAATGCTACGGTGTCGTACGTGGCGCCGTAGCTTTATTGCATGTATCATGGCATAGTGGCGCCGCAAAAGCTCAAGCTACAGTGGCATCGAAACAAAGGCTGAAGCGAGAACAGTGACATACATTTGAGCTGAATGCTGAGTGTCGTGGTGTTTCAGGCGTCCGGGTAGCATCCCTCTCCATTTCACAAGCAGAAAGCGTCGCTCAGCTGTGCTGGTGCACGTTCGGACGCCATTCCATGGCCAGGGATGCAGAATAGTTACCAGGGGGAGGGGGCAAGGGGGAGAGGGGGAACGAAGCCTAACAGTCCGCATCAAACTTCGGTGACGCACTGAGCCCCGCAGCAAGTAACGCGCGGCTCAGCAATTCGCGCAGCAATGGCCTTACGAATAAAATAGCAAGTAGCTGCACCAAGCCCGTGGGGTGAAAGCCAAGCATCCCGCATACATCCTGAATGATATACATCGCTACACGAATGATCCACGATAAATGAGAAGTTCAGTACTACGTCATACGAGTCTACACACGTGCACGTGTGAACGCTTGCATAGACAAACCCCATAATCCTGAACAGCGACAGACGTGGGCTTGCCTGGGAGGCGGCCGGGGGGTCTACACATCGGTCCGGCGGGGGGAAAGGAACCAAATCCGTTCAAAATCGGCCCCGCCTCCCGAGGTCCACCCTGGTGCACTTCTTCACCCCGGATCCGTTTCTGACGGTCTCGGGGCCCGACAAGGGCCCCCGGGCACCGGAAAGAACTCGAAAACATTCCCGAGCCCAGCACCCCGAACCTGCCCCCCCTTCTTGCTGGCGGGGTGCTGGGCCAGCTCAGGCCCTCAGCCAACTCTAAGGCTTGCCCAAATCTCAAAACGGTGCGCAAAGAGGTGACTGTGGCCAGGGATGAACACAACGTGACAGAACCAATACGAGTCTGATCAAGGAGCACTGCTGGGGACCAAAAGAACCTCAAGTGAACGAGCCAGGGCTGCGTATAACAACAGAAAAGGCTACCCCGAGCTAAAACTGGCCTCCATCGACAAAAACTCGATTCGGTCGGTCGTGCCCCGTGCCCACGACGCTGAGCCATTGGTGCACCATGACCTGTGCCCGACACATTGAGTCACTAATTGTCGACTCGGTTTCCATAACTGTGACATTCTGAAGCTCTACCGAAGTGCCTTTTCCCCACGCAACATGCCCAACGGGTAAAGCCCGACGATCCTTGATTCAGTTCGCAATGCCTGCTCTACGTTACTTGTACCTCCTGGACTGCGCTTGCAGATACATTCGGGGCCCTTACTCCTGAACTGCACTCAATTGGTCGAGAAACGCTCAGGTACGTGGCTCACGGCGGGACGCTCTCCATCTTAAGATTACACCAAAGAAAAATCCCAATCAATGGATGGTGTTCGCTAAAGAAATCGACCGGGAACCCGGGAGCCCAAGAACACAGATTTCACCGAAATCGGCCCGGAACCAATAACCCGGAACCCGGGAACCCGGAAACGGGAACCCGGGAACCCAACCTGCTACCAAAATCGGCGGGAAACTTTCGCCAAATCTTCAACTTCCGCTAGGACCCCTTCAGTGCAAGCACTGATTGGGGAATTATCGACGGGAACATGGGTCACAATTCTCCTTACCTGAGTTGCACCACGGTTTCAAGAGAGCACCCCATCCAACTCTCGGCTCCTCTCTTTGCGCATTACTGGCAATACTGAAGGGGCCCTGGGACACACATGTAAACTTACATAAATAACCAGATTCCCCATATCTTCCAATATTTTCTGAGTGTTTGTCTTCCCCCCCACTTCTTATATTTTCCCATACTTTCTTCTGGGGAGTCCACGATCAATTGTGTCCGTGTTTCGTTCTCTCCGGAAAAACGGACGCACAGCCCAGATCTCCACAAGAAGGTGCTCCTGGAAAGATCCCTGATGCAGCCCGGTGCAGCTACCGCCCCATAGTCGAGAGCGAGCGCACCTGGCAAGTCCTGGTGCGCAGTGCGCGACGGCGCTTGCCACGCCCTCTGGCGCCGCCGACGCGAGCGGCGCCCGGTGCCAGCCCAGACGACCCTCCTCGCCGCTCGCGACGCCGACGCCGGCTGCCCCTCGGAGCAGCGGCCAGACCGCGCGCAAACAGGGCGGCGCGCAAAGGGGCGCGCCACCCGGAGCGGGCGCGGGCAGAGGGTCAGGGTGTAGAGGCGGCTGGCCGATCCTGGAATGGCCTCAGCTCCAACCGCTCAATCGAATCGAGCACTCTTATGAGGAATGATGATGGGCTCATTTTCCACCACCGCTGCTATATGTAGGAGAGGGGCGAGGAGGAGGAGGAGGAGGAGGAGGAGGAGCAGGAGGATGAGCAGGAGGAGGAGGAGCAGGAGGCGGAGGAGGAGGAGGAGGACCTCCTCATCCTCCCTTCTCCAACGTCCTACATATGGTGGTGGTGGTGGTGGTGGTGATGGTGGGAAATGTGCCCATCAGAATCAGAATGCATTTGAGTGGAACGCCATTCAGCACGACAACCTGTCGCAACTCGTAGGACCTCCAGTGGCTTGCCGTAAATCGCCAGACCTAGGCTCGAAATTCCGTGCGCTCCGTGGCGCGCGCACCGATCGCGGGTTGCCAGAGGGTGCCCCTGGCCGAAGGTGCCCCGCGCTTCTCGCTCCACTTTGGAGCCCCTGGGGCCCTCTGCGCCTCAGGAGGGGCGCTCTGGACGGCGTAGAGCCTCCTTGGAAATCCTGGGGACACCTTGGGCCAGGGGGGGCACTTGTTGATGGGCCTGTTTTCCACCACCACCACCATAAGTTGGAGGGGTCAAGGAGGTGGAGGACGAGGAGCAGGAGGACGAGGAGGAGGAGGAGGTTGAGGAGGAGGAAGAGGAGGAGGTTGAGGAGGAGGAGGAGGAGGAGGAGGAGGAGGAGGACCCCCGCCCCTCCAACCTATGGTGGCGGTGGTGGAAAACAGGCCCATCACTTGTAGCAACACCCGAACTGACCAACGGGAGGCAACAACAACACCGAAGCATCAGACGCTCGCAGCCAGCCCCGGCATCCCAGATCGGTGGTTCAAAGATGGGGTCCTGAGGGATGGGGTCCTGAGGACGAGATGCTTCAAATAATGTAAGTCCACCGTTGGACCCATCCTTATCCTTGGGTGCCCATCCCTCAGGGCTCCGTCTTTCATTCTCCGACCAGAATGGAGGACGAGCGCGATCGGGGAGCGAGGGAAAGACGGAGGAGGAGAAGAAGGAGGAGGAGGAGAAGAAGGAGGAGGAGGAGGAAGGGGAGGAGGAGGAGGAGGAAGAGGATGAGGAGGAGGAAGAGAAGGAAGAGGAAGAGGAGGATGAGGAGCAGGAGGGGGAGTAGGAGGAGGAGGAGGAGGAGGAGGGGGAGTAGTAGGAGGAGGATGAGGAGAAGAAGGAAAAGGAGGAGGAGGAAGAGGAGAAGAAGGAGAAAGGGGAGGAGGAGGAGGAAGAGGAGGAGGAAAGGGAGGATAGCTGGAGCTGCTGGGGCGCCACGCGGGAGGCGCCGGGGCGAGAGGGGGTGGCTTTGTGAGAGAAGTCTAAGACGAGGCCTGGGCGAAGACAACATCGGGTGAGGATAGATGTAGGTCGGGCATGTCCTCCTACAGGCACGGCAGGTTTTGGAAGAAAAAACAGAAGTTACCAAAACTACTCAAACACATTTAAACCTAATCCAAAAATTCGTCCCCAGATTATGTTTTGACCAATCTTGGATATTCCCCCCGTAGAGGGACATGCCCCACGTAAGGATAGATCGAAGATCTCTGAGATCAGGCGGCTCTGGAAGATGCCTCTGGCGCCGCGGCCTTTCCAGTGAGCGTTCCAGAACGCTCAGGGAACGCTTCGAGAACGCCCTGGAGCGGATTCTTACAGTGCAGGCCAGTCCACAAGAAACCTACCGCAAGAAACCCAACCCAAAAACCCAAACACGTCCATGGACTTTTCGCGTGGAAACCTCACGCTGTCTCTTCTTCTCGTTTATATATATATATATATATAAAATTATTTTTGATAAAACAGAGAATATTCTTATTCTTTGTGTTATTGCTAATCATATGACTTTTTTGAAATACATATTATTGTTTGGGAAAGTCGGCACCAAAGAAACCCAGGGCACCCTGGAGGCAAGCAGGGTGTTTCTTGGCACGGGCCCCCGCTGCATCCTCCCCCTCAAGCTGGTGCGGGGTCTGTGGCGCTCCAAGGGGAGGCCCCTGCAAGAGGCCCCATGGCCTCTTCCTCGGCAGGCCACCCCCCGCCTCCTCCTCCTCCTCCTTCCCTCTCCTCCTCCTCCCTCTCCTCCTCCTCCTCCTCCCTCCTCCTCCTCCTCCTCCTCCTCCTCCTCCTCCCTCCCCTCCTCCTCCTCCCCCTCCTCCTCCTCCTCCTCCTCCTCCTCCTCCTCCTCCTCCTCCCTCCTCATCCATCCTCCTCCTCCCCTCCCCTCCTCCCCTCCTCTCCTCCTCCTCCTCCTCCTCCTCCTCCTCTCCTCCTCCTCCTCCTCCTCCTCCGCCTCCCCCTTCTCGCCCTCCTCCTCTTTCTTCTCCTCCTCCTCCTCATCCTACCCATCTTCCTCCCTCTTCCTCCTTTCTACGTTGGACCAACGTAAAGACCGGGCCTGTCGCGTTTACGATGTGTGGGGGGGAACGACTGGGGTCAACAAAAACACCCCCCTGCGGGCGCTGCGGAAAATGGAAGAGAACGAGCACAGGAGAAGATTGTTGGTGAGACTAAGCGCCCGTCAGTTGTGACGATATTAACCTTAGCGGAATGCAGCAACAGCATAATGACGAAAGAAGAGATCCTCACCTCCACCTACAACCCAATTTCCCAATGTGCCGCTTGGCTTGCTGCGTTAACATATATCTATGTGTGTATATATATATATATATGGCCAGACTAAGCTATGTACGGTCTGGTAGGCTAGCCTGTGAGGTCGAAGGCTGGAATGTGTACAGCAGTGCCAAGTATTAGCGTTGGCACTGCAAGAAACAACAGAGTGTGGCAGCTCTGCTCCCCCCCCCATCTCTCCCTCCGCCGTCACGCAACCCTTCCTGACTGACTCCTACACCAGGGCCCTCTCCTGACGACCGCGAGGCCCGCCAGCGGCGCTCGGGCGCCAGCCTCGAGAGAGACCGAAAGCAAGACATCGGGCGCACACGATGTCGGAGGTTTGGTCCCGTGGGTCTCCAGAAACACCCGAGGTCCCCGGGGGCAGGGAGGCTTCCCAGAGGCCTCCGGGGCTCCAGTCGGCGCCCAAACAGCAAATCATCCATCCGTCCTCCCTCTGAATCCACCACCACCACCGTGCCGTGAGCACTGAATGGAGTGTCAACGTGTCCTCAGGTTCCTCCGAATTCTCAATATCGATTGACGATTGGAAAAGCTCGTTCAAGGGCCCGGGGCCCTGAATTGCTTGGATTTCTGGGCGGTCCTGCGGGTGTTCCGCGTGACTTCTCTTGAGACCTCAGGAGCGATGCTCGGGATATGTACACCCGACGAGCTATAAGATGGTCGCTGAAGCCCCTTCTGAAGCTTCTCGGTCGAGCAAAGGCAGACCGTCCCTGGACTCCTGTAGGGCTACCACGACATGCTCTTAGATCAGGAAGACATATTCTAAGAATAGGTTCTTCAACAATAAGTCTGGTGTCTCAAAACAAAGCCTGCCTCAACAGAACATGCTTTGATGAACAACTCATACAAACCACGGACAGTTCTTACAACATTCCTTGGTGGTCCTCAAGGCAGGTCAGAACGCTTCGCCACTGATTGACTTGGGGGCCTCTGGGCCCAGTCTTGCGAGCCGTCATGACTGGCCCCAAAGGCATCACAAAACGCCTAGATCCCTCAGGCCCGTGTGCGACTTTGGTATGCTCGGCCGTCTGGGAAAGAGCGCGCAAGCAAGCCACGGAGGCCCCAAACATTGCCCCAAGACGGCCACCAAGAGGCCCCAAGCCGGCCCCACGAGGGGCGGTAGAGCATGAAGTGATAATTGGAGCCCTTTCCCTGAAGATGGCCCCCATTACTGACAGCGGGCCCTCGAGAGGCCCCAAGAGGCCAACGAAGTGACCGATAGGACCCAATAGACCTCGAAGAGGTCCAAAAGAGCGTTCCAATGTGGCCTCCGAGACGCCTCCCACAAGGCCCCAAAGGTTTTTTTTTCATAGAGGCGTGTAATCAGCAGGGTTCTGACTTGTTCGTACAGAAAGAATTGGTGTCGGACACGCGGTCGTCACCCAGTTCCATAGGGTTCCTTGGTCTTTTTCCCATGCCACGGGACTTCCCTGGGGCTCATTCCCAGGGGTTCCTTGGTCTTGCATCCTTGCACGGCACCGCCCAAGCTCCTCGAAGAGGCTTCCCTCGGGTTCCCCAGGTTCCCTGGCCTTGTTTCTTGACTGCCTGTCCTAACCATCCTGTGGTGTTGGGCCTTTTTGGGGGAAGAGACAGCGCCGTCACCTCACCTCCCACCTCCCTCCCCCGCCTCTGCCCTCCGCGTGCCCATCTCGGCACACCCCTCACACGTTCCGTGGCCGCACGAGGAGCTCCAACGAAGACCCCCGGGGGGGGCCACAAAACGGTCTCCAGCCATGTCGGCGCACCCCTCGCACGCTTCGTGGCCTCATGGGGAGGCAACAACTAGGGGGGAAAACAAACCTACCTCGTTTTTGACCACCCTCGCTTCCAAGAGATACCAAACGATGCCAAATTGCAGCCTGTACTGGTCAGGCCGCTTGACGAGGAGGCGCATGGTATGGCTGGAAGCGAAAGCGGGGTAGGTAATTCACGCTCTGAACAACTAATGCCCCAGGGGACCACAGGCGGTCCCCCCGCGAATTTGGCGCTCGCCTCATACGTCGCGTGGCCCCAGAGGGAGCTCCAAGTAAGATCCAAGGCCCAGTGCCACAGCTGGCGCGCGTCGGCCACCTTCCATCGTAGGCCTTCGGAAAATTGATTATGTTGGATGCGAGAAAGGCCAAGGACACTCCTCGAAACTATCCAAGACTAGGTTGTGACAAAGTCCGGGTCCGTGTCCGAAAATCGTTTCGCGATGAACGTGGCACTTGGAACTGCATACGGTTGGGTCCTTCGCCAAGATAATAAGAAATTATGCTAACGGAGTTCCCCACATAAAAAGATTAACGATTTCGTGGGACCCATTTTCTTGATGCCCTCCTCGCTTTGGCGGGGCCCCGCTGGAAGGGAGGAGGGGCAC